GTATTGAACTAATAGTTACAACCAGTTGGGTAATGTTACCAGTTGGGACAACTATAATTTCATAACCAACCGATTGGGATAGCTAATAGTTACAACCAGTTCGGATTTTTTTGGAAGTTAACAACCAACCACTGACATAAGTTAAAAAAAGAAAAAGCCATCCGGTTGGGATGACTAAAAGTTCATAACCAACCGGTTGACATAACTATATAAAGTGATTTCCTAACAAATCCCAACCACTTGGGATGAGTGCGATAATTTAAACGCCCAGCTGAGACAGCTACTGTATACCAATTGAATTCCACTAAAATTGCCATAGCACTTGGGATAACTATTTAACTCTTAATCATCCCAATAATTAAGTTAGAACTATATAAATTATATAATATAGAACTATTGTCCTATTTTTGTGTTGTTCGTTATAACTATGAGGGATAACTGTATAGTAACTATCCCAATAATTAAGTGATAACTATAAGTTATAGTCTAGAACTACTAATGCTGGTAAAACAACAATAACAAACCATCCCCAATTTCACCATATATAGGTGGTATGGTTGCCATTCCCAAATGGGTGGTTTATGACATTGTTTTACCCACATTAATCATCATTAATCCAATTAATAGACTATTAATATGATATATTGTCCATCATTAATCACCATTAAACATCATTAATCACCATTGATCACCATTTTACCCACATTATTCAATAATCGTGATTTACCCACTAAAGATGGTGATTCTCCAGTTCATTATCACCATTATTATTGTTTTATGGCAGTGTGTCAAAACCTTGTACCCCAGTAGTTCACATCAAAATAGCTGGTAAATGGATGTTCATTCCCCTAAAAATGGTATTAATAGGTATTGATCCATACCCAAATCACCCACTTTCCCAAAAAAAAACGCCGAACTTCGCACCTCCTCCGCCTCGGCGCACTGCTTCTGCGCCACATCTTTGGCGACGCGGCTCTGATCGCGCTCGTCCTCGCGGCATTTTTGTGCCGTGGGTCTGGAGTTTGACCATAGAAAAATGCTGATTCTTGTTGCGATTTCCTGGGATCCATTGGAATTCATTGGGATTGATTGGGATTTCTTGTGATTTCTTGGGACAAAAAAATAGGTTTCTTCACCGATCCACTTCTGGGGACTACTCGGGGCTAAGGTGATTTCACCACAAAAAAAGTTGGAATATGACCTCCAGAATTGTGGCAGGCCACTCAAGTCTGCAGCCCCAATGTGACATGATGTAAGCGACATAATGTCAAGTCAAGCCCGTACATGTCCAACAATGAAGACTTGCACTAGCCGATTTCTGGTCAAATTTCGTGAACTACATCAAGCTGACAAGCAAACTTGACCCCATTTGGGGCTCTTATATCCTCTCTAAAATGCACAGCTTTAGCCATCAACACCCAGTAGCTTCCCCAGAGGATTAACCCATGGGGAACTCATTTTGATCAGCAAATCCAAGCCATGACCATTGAAGGCAGACCATGACCTTCCAGAGCCATCCTTTTCAGTTCCAGGTACTCTGTCAGATTTTTGGGAAAACAATGGAAAAGATGTTCTGGCGCTGAGTTTATGTTTTCCAGCGCTGAAAGTCATGCTGTCACCTTAAGTCGTTTTTGGATTCCCCACCTACATGCTTCACCCCAAGGATCCTGAACAAGACCGGCATACCGCTATCACGTTCAAAATGCGGTTGCTGCAGTTTGTTGAGATCTTCCGAGAGACCCGTACGCCGTACTGGCACATGCTTTCGGAATCCCTATCTTCAATAGGAGAATCATCGATCTCTTCATGACGGATCTTTTTTCAGCCTGATTTCAGAAGCAGAGGCTACGACTTGAGTCCCTCAAAACACCGAGGGACTGCGGATGGACCTACCATGGGATGTCCGAAAATAACTTCCGTGGCTTCCAGAGAAGACCTACCATTGACCCACCAGAAAGACCACCTGGGCTAGGAAAACCCCACGGACATCAAAAACCGCGAATCTTCCCTCCAGTTCTCCTCCAATCGTCGGACTTGAACCCGAAGTTCCTACCAATGAGGGAGTTGACGCAGCTTTCAGGGATTTATGTACCGTACATAAGTACCTCTATTTGGGATTATGTAATACATGATCCCAAAATGTTTGGGTTAGGATATGTTGGAATGGTCTATTATTGGGTTGACATGGGTTTCCCACATACTTTGAAAGCTTACAACTTGCGCTTTGGGCAATCTAACTCCAAACAGAGTCTGCGCAAGTTTGGGAGATGTTTTGCAAAAACCACAGCACCAAACTGTTCCAACGGCCCGAAGGTTTATCGCACGTTCTCACTTTCTAGTTGTGAGGTACTTGAAAAATGATCAGCCATCATCCAACATCATTAATGCCATATTCATCTGGAAAGTTGATGATTAATCAACCCATTGCCATCCTAATTTACACCATAGAAATTATCCATAGAAATTAGGGGTAGAGCCCCCTAGTTGCTTTTGCAAACTGAAATTCATGGTGTCTGATTCTTGGGCGACCTTAAGTGTCACCAAAAACTGCGTGTGTTTCAACTTTGGCACATCGTTTTGCTAGATATCTACTACTACAATTCTGGTGGATCAAAATTGAGCATCTCCAGTTGCCAGAGTTCTTACTGCTGGTAGCCGCTATCAAAAATCTTCACTCCCGGGATGCTCCACTTACCGTGGCCTCATAAGCACGGCTCTTGGTTTTCGCGAGCATGCTCCTCGGCGGAGATGCCGACGGCAAGCATCCTACCTTTTTGAACATAGCTGGGATGGAGAAAACTTCGTTTCGACACTTCATCAATCCCTCCTAAACAGAAGATTCCATGGGAAAATGTTCAGGGAATTCAGAACGTCCGTTCTTCAATTCATCCAATGACATTCCATCCGAAAAAAAAAAAAACAGCACATGTCCATCATGTCCATCCAATCTTTCCAGAATTTTCCCAGTCCGAAAAAACCCAAAAAACAAATCGAAAAAAAAATCCGAAAAATCTCCAGAGCCAAGTCCTGGGGCCCCCGGGCGCCGTGCTCTCCTTCTGCTTCATTTCTTCGGTGGCCTTTTGGGCCACCTGCAAGTTCGCCTCGAAGCTGGTTTTGGGGATTTTTTAGTGGATTATGATGGATTATGATATGATATAGATATATATATATGTATAATATATATATATATTATATTATATACATATAATTGTGTATATAGTGGATTTTGATATATCATTAATATATAATTATATACATATATATATATATGATCGTATGATGATTATCCCCCAAAGAAATCATATGGAAATCATGGTTTTGAAACTGGGAGAAATGGGGCTGTTACGGAACTGATTCGCCACCTCGCCACGATTCCTGGTGTTTACCAGCGATTTTTCGACCTCGGCCATCTATGCCATAACTATAATAAGCAGATGGTTTTAATCCTGGTTGGTGGTTTCAACCCCTCTGCAAAAATATGAAAGTCAATGGGAAGGATTATCCCATATATTATGGAAAATAAAAAATGTTCCAAACCACCAACCAGAATCCCATGAAAAACCCTGCAAAATCCCTATTGTTGACGGTTAAATCCCATGGAAAATCCTATAAAAAACCCAGGAGACCCCGACTCGCAGACCGCTGATGAGCTGCGCGTAGGTGCTAAGTTGCCCTGGGCAGATTCGATGGGGGGGGAAGGATGCCACCAGCCTTTTCCGTTTCGGAAGTACATATGGTTGAGCAATTGGCTCTGCGACATGTGACCAATTCACTTTTAACAGACATATGACATATGTTATTGATATATATATATATATAGTTGATATGTATTATAGAACTAAGTTAAATACATGTTAACGTGTAATCCATACATGTACAGAGAGCATAAACACCAATGCAGTAATGCAAATCCTAGTAGATGCTGAACTGAGCCTGAGCAGATCAGCTGAAAATTCTTTCACTAGTTCACTTGGTAGGTAACGAATTCGGTAGATGAGAGGTGGGCGGGCAAATCCCAGTTCATGTCGATCTCAGATGAAGGTTGACCCCTTGGCTGGAAAATCTTGGCTGGAAAATCATCAGTCACTTATATTGTTGGAAAATCATCTAAAAATGGATATTTCTGTTTTACCATAATTCACTAGCCATGATAAAATGATTATACGGTAATAATAGATTTGTAATTTGGGGTAAGTTCTGTGGTACTTCACGAACACCTGAAATCATGTTGGGTCGGTTTTCTTTTGGGGTAGTTACCCCAATCCTAACCATCACTGCAGTGTTTTTGATCCCATCCAATCCCCATGAAACCACCATTTTTTCTTCGTCAAATCCCCATGTTTCATGGTTTATCTCCCTTTATCCCCCAAAAAAATTGTCCCAACCATAAATCTGCTATAAATCCCCGTGTTAACCATAGGTTATAAACTATAGCGATTTTGGTGATTTATGGTGATTTATGGTGATTTATGGTGATTTATGGTGATTTATGGTGATTTATGGTGATTTATGGTGATTTATGGCGATTCATGGTGATTTTTGGTGATTTATGGTGATTTATCGCGATTTATGGTGATTTTTGGTGATTTTTGGTGATTTATGGTGATTTATGGTGATTTATGGTGATTTACTACCAAGAATGTCTTTTCTCTGGGGCGAATCCCATTTTTAGCTGGCTTAGAATGCTAGTTTTAGACCCCATGTTTTGAATTGGTTCCACAGAAAATTGACCACATTTCCCATATAGATTCACTAGTTTGGCTAGTTCGGGGTAGAGTTCTCATTGAGAAAATTCAAACAAAACTCAAGCAAACCCAGGCATGATAGCTATATTACATATTAACATATCCATACCATGGGTAGTCACTATAGCCATATTTACTACCATATATCATATATTATAGCTATATTATATATATAATATATGGTTATTATAGCTATTACAAATATATATATATACAGTATATATATTACCATATACATACATATATATATATTATAACTTATAACCATATATTATCTATTATACATTATATATGATAGCTATATGAGTTACAGTCATGGTCGTTTCTTCGCCGCTCGCATCCATGCTGCCAGGTGCTGCCACGTGGCCGAGGCGTTCGCAAGTCACTTCGGATTCCTTGAGATCCTGAGGTCCAAGCTCTCGCTGGTGGATACATTGCTAGATCAGTTCTCTAATGATACCCTCTGGTTATTTAACATAGCCATGGAAAATAGCCCATTTATAGTGGATTTTCCCATTGAAACCTCCATTTCTGAGGGTTTTTCCATGGTTATGTTAAATAACCAGATGGTAAGTATCTATAATGAACTAGCGGATCTATAAAGCTGGCCGTATCTATTTTTTGATAAGTTATCTAATGCCTTTGTTGGCCGTATCTTTTTGAAGCTACCTGATAATGATGCAGCAAAAATGCATGTGAGGTCGCAGCAAAAAGTCCACTGATCCAGCGATTCAGCACGTGATTGTCCCATCATATCCTTCATATGATATAATTCTTCAGAAGATACCCACCAGAAAAAGAAGAAAAGTATTCATCATTATTCTTAGAATACTTAAATATCTCACTATAGATGCAGGTATCATCTATATCAGTTGATGTTGAATGATCAATTCTTAGCATTATAAAAATATACTACAGTAACATATTCCCCGAAAGAAAATGATCGTTCAATTATTAAGTACCCATTCCTTCCTTAAAATGATGTGGCGCCTGCAGCGATGGTAGGGTTCGGGGCCAGTCACCTGCCATTCGGATGGGTAAAGGGTGGGTAAAGGTGGAGAAAGGGCTACAAAAACCATCCAAAAACTTACTGGTGCTTAGTAGGGAATAGATGGGAATGGGGGTTGCTGGGATTATTATTGATAGCTAGCCAGTGGATCATTCCCTAAAATTCCCTACTAAGCACAAGTAAGAAAACCCACTTTCTTTGAGGTGATTTGTCCATCCACATCTCCTCCCGAGTTTGAGCCAAAAAAAAACGTGGCAGCAGGGCAGAAGATGGCCTCCAACAGTTCCTGACGGAGGTCACAACGCTGAAAATCTGAAAATGAGATTTACGGAGAAAAAAAACACACATCAAAACGGCCAATAAAATGGCAATGTTTCAGTGGATCTGATGGAAACTTTAGGGGCTAAAATGCCCACACTAAAAATGGTCGTGTTTCATGGAGAAAATGATGCTTCATGGTTCATCAGTGGATGGATTCAGGAAACTTTAGGCTGGAACAAGGTTGCAAGAGCAACGATCCAGATACGTTTCAGGTAAAGAAGTAAAATGATGTCAAATTGGGAAGATCATAGGATATGAATATAATATTTAGGGAACTATGACCAACAAAGTTCATATGGGTTTAGTATCTGAAGAAACTGAGGAAAGTGTTTGCCAATGTTCTCATGATTTTCAATCATCTTCCCATCAAAATGGCCCTTAGTTGGGTCCCAGATCTTCATCTCCATCTCCAAACCCATATGGGCCATGTCTGAAAATAGGGTACCCCATTCCATCCATTGGTTTATCATCATCTTTCCTACACTATCACAAAAATAACTCCTATATTCTTAGTTTACCATTTTGGTATCCTCCCTGTTTTTGCAGGTCAAAAGCCCAAAAATCTGGTGTCTTCCTGTCGCAGGATCCATTTTGGGAGGCCATTTGATGCTCGCTTTCTTGGACCGAGGATTCGACACACTGATGTCCACAATGTGGCCCCACCAGTTATAATAAGTTGATTTATAAGCCCAAGTAACTATAGTTATAGGTACCATAAACCATAGTTATTGGAGTTATAAACCAACTTAGCTATCTTGGGGGCCTCACATTGCACCATATATTTTGTATAGCAATCCCACAGAAAAGTTGAAAGTAGCGAGAAATCACGGTTCGATTTTTCTTGGAGTTACTAAGTTACTATTAATAACATTGCCATGGATCGAAAATGGCCCATTTCGACATACCGGTGACCAGGACCATCATGTGTATATCTGGTTGGTGGTTGAGCCCTACCCCTCTGAAAAATATGACTTCGTCAGTTGGGATGATTTTTCCATTCCCTATGGAAAAGTATAATTCATGTTCCAAACACCAACCAGATATCACATCAAATCCAATGAAAACCCAGTAAAAATGACCACGAACATCTTTTTTTTTCCAACGAAACACAGCCGGCCGGCCGTTCAACGTGACCGTCCTGTACCAAGGGTTCGAGCATGGTGCGGAGCAGGAAGCCCCGCGGGAGCGCACGTACCAGGCGAACTAACCTGAGATTTGGGGAGATTCTAGGAGTTACCCTCTGGTAAACTAACATAGCCATGGAAAATGGCCCATTTATAGTGAGTTTTCCCATTAAAAATGGTGATTTTCCATAGTTATGTTAGTTTACCAGAGGGTAATAAGAAACATCCGGATTTCACTGAAGAAAATCGGTTCAGGAACTCTCAAAAATTGGGATTGAACTTGAAAAAATCTGAGGATTTAGGCAGTAAGAATTTATGGATCTGACCAGGAAACTTCAAGCAAATAATTCGGGCATCAGCGGACATAACTAGTCAGTACATAGAAATGGTGACGTTAGTCACAGTTGAAACCTTATAGTCAATCTAAAAAATAAAGATTTGACTAGCAAATGGGGCTTCAAATGGGGCTTCAACCAACAAAATAAGATGAAATTTTGAAAGAATTGGACCTTCTTCATGGCTTCAACAGCCATGTCTTGTTACCGCTTGAAAAAGTCTCCAAACTTCAGCGACTAACCCAACAAAAACGATACGAAAAAAAGTCAGTCAAGAGCTCGGAGTGAGGAATCTCTGAAGCCCATCCAATAGTTACCCTCTGGTTATGTCAAAATAGCTATTGAAAATGACCATTTATAGTGGATTTTCCCATCAAAAATGGTGATTTTCCATAGCTATGTTAGTTTACCAGAGGGTAAGTCTTCTGAAGTCTTCAAGTTTCAAGTATCCAACAGTTATACCCTCCAGGAAATTTTCACACTTTTTTCCGGCGTTGGAAGATTCGTGTTTCACCACTAACAATGGCTGATTTTCCACATCCAACTGTTGATTTACCAGAGGGTAACCATCATATCTCCCATTAAAATCCATTAAAAATACCATAAAATACCATAAAATTCCATTAAATCCCATTAAATTCCATTAAAATCCCATTAAATCCCATTAAAATCCCATGAAGTTCCCACGGTTTCAACGGTGAAACGAAGCTCCCGTTGCTTGGGGCGACCGTTAAATTCACAACGACGCCGAGGGACAATGATGCTGCCTCCGCCCCGTGGGAGAAATCCTTGGGTGGGACCTGGAGCTGCTCAGGTAGACCGGTGAACTTCCCATTTTATATACATATATATGTATATATATATATTTATATATATATGTCCATTTTCCATAACTATGTTAAATTACCAGAGGGTAACCCAAAATGGGGATATATATATATATACAGTACATATATGTATATATGTATATGTATATATATATATATGGTGATTGGATGGTGGATTGTTACACCAACAAACGATGATAGATGAACTGATCAACTCGATGAAAGTTACGCTGGAATTGGTGATGGGCCGGAGCCCCAGCTCGCTGGATTCTCGAAGGGTTCTCTCCGTGACTTGTTGGATCCCCGAAAGAGTCTGATCACCGGCATTCCCTGCTGGTGAGCAGTCAATCACGCAGGTTAGTCCCGCTCAAATGCTAGCAAAATCATGCAAAATCCCAATGTTTTTCCTGTATATATATATATATATATAGATGTCTATGTGTCTATAAAGGCGAATCTGGCGGGCGAAACTAACATATTTTTGGCAGAACAAAAAAGTTACCCCAAAATCCAGTAGTTAATTGTCATGTTCACCATTTAATAGTATTTAATAGTGAACATAGTAACATATCAGGCTAAGTGTGGCAATCACTATCACCTTCCCTATCACTCAAGGGTTTCACGTAACTTTTTGATGGCCATTTGAGTTGGTTCAATTGGCCATCGTTGGAACAAAAGAATCATAAGGATTTTCACCTAATTTGCCATAAACCATCCCCGAAATCATCATGGATGTGATTGAACCATCCCCAAATGGTAGTTGTTAATGGCATTGGGTGAATCCCACATTCATATCTACCAGCATGCGTATTAGACTTAGTCTTTTTGCATCCACTTGTCAAGCATTGATACCACATCCGTTGACATTCTACTAACATCATTAGTTGGTATGTCTTAGCATCCTATTGGATAGTATATATATATAATCTATTCTGAACATGGTACCATAGGTTTTGATCCATCCCAAATTATATTCCCAGGGTATTCCAATTATTGTTGATTCTTCCCATGATATTCCCATTCTTGTTGGAGTCATTCCCACTATATGTCCAAATGTTCACGAATATCATACACAATATACTGTAATGATATTGGTCTTCTTCCCATAATATGTCCGAAAGAAGCATGTTATTGAATATTCCCATGATATTTCCAATTGTGATTGATCATTCCGATTCAATATATTCCCATTGTTGGAGTCATTCCCATTCTTAGATATTCCAATTTATATATTCCAAAATCCGAAAACATGGATGACATGATCAATTCCCAATTCAGAAATTTCCAGCGATTGTGATATTCTCTATGTATATATATATATATTTATATAGGGATATGATCCATTTATAATTCCCATGATACCCTCTGGTAATTTAACATAGCTATTGAAGCCATGGCCCAGTCGAAATAGTGGATTTTCCCAGCTAGAAAATGGGTGGATTTTCCAGTTCGTTTTTTGTTAACGTTTACCAGAGGGTATTCCCCCCAGTGAAATCTCAGCATTGAAACTGCAGAATGCATTCCATTTTGACCATACCTGTCAGGCATTTTGACTTGCTGCAGATTTCACATTTGCCGATTTTCTGTAGCT